AAATTATATAGTCACACAACATAAATTTGAGATCGTCACAAAGTGATAAATGTGATAAAGAGAAATTCCACCATGCTATTCAAATTGAATTTATTGATTTGTTCGGAGTTTGACTTTAAATTGATCTAATTTAATAAAGAATTTAGGATTATTTGTTTGTAAAAATAAAATTTTATATTAGATTGATTTCTTTCCTATGATTTTTGTAGGAAATACATTATTATGTCTATTTTTTATTCCATTAAAATAAAATTTTTTTAAGATTCTGCAACAATTCCCCTACCAAATACATTGTTTTTTCTCTAATTATATATAGTTAATTCCTGTGAATGATTTTTGAGAAAAAATACACAATGGCGCTTTGGGGATTTGAGACAAGCCCCTGTGGCATTGTTGTGTGGTTTTAAATGATTATGCTATATATTTTTTTTAGCTTAAAATAAATCTAACCAAAAAACGATTCCTTTTCATTTTCCGCATACCTTGAATTACGATTGGTTTACATTTTCGTCGTACTTTTAATTGGATTTTGGGTATAAAAAATGATTTCTTATCGGAAAACAACCTACAGGAGGCTATATTATCCTTATTTATCCTATTATCTTTAAACCATTTTTGTGACTCTAAAGCCTAAAAAAAGATATGCATTCTAGATATACAGTATGTTTGTTTGTACATTTTGACATGATCTTATTCTAAAGTGATGATTTTTTTGCATTGCAAACTATTCTTGTTCTTTAATGCTACTAGTCATTTGGGGATAATAGTTATAATACAGTTTAAAAGAGGCTTAAATAATACATATTAAACTTAGTACTATGAGTCCTCTGTTTTGTTCCGATACTTTGACGACAATAAGCTCTAATAAGAAATCTTTCATTCAAATCGTTGTTGACATGATAACATAGTGATGGAGGAATGGTGGGCACACAAATTAGTATAAAAGCTATATTAAGATTATAGGCATTGCGAGAAATCAGTCCATCCCAATAATGAGATCTAACTAGGCTTTGAATTTTTTAGAGATGGCGCGAGATTCATTTTCATGCAGGTTGGAAATTAAATAAATACCCAAACAGTTACCTATACCATTCGAAGAGGATATAATTTGCCTTTTATTATTAATAAAATTCACAATAAAGAAACAAGCTATGGTGTTCTGCTTTTGCTGCACGCAATATTTGATTCTAATGAAAGTTGTGTTTCCTCATTGTATCCTTGCAGCAATTGAGATAACTTTTATTAGCATTCCTTTCTTGCAGCGTTCTGGACCTTTATTATTTTCTGATGAAAGGAATCATATTCATTCAATGGATTTTTAATTCTATCTTATGTTGGAAGATGCAAAATTCAAATTGAAAGTCAACTTTAGCATGAAGAGTGTCTAAAAACTTGAAATCTTTGGGTCATTTGACCCCATGTATTTATTTTCTTTGTCATTGTGTTCTAATGGTCTATATAATATTCGAGTGGATATACTTTTTCTAATTTATATAATAATAGGATCGTGTCAAATTTTCTTTTACGTTGGGAATCAACGTTGCATCTGTTAGTAATCTCAAGCTCTAATTTTGCTTTAGAATGAAATTTACTTTAAAAATTTGACATTATCAAGATCTTTATAATCTAATATTATATTAAAACTATTACTAATACGAATACGATATCTATCTATCTATTCTTTAATCTAACTTCACCTATGAGAGCACTAGTGTAAGTTCTCAAGTTATTTTGCCTCTTTTTCAATAATGTTAATCGCCTACAACTGTCAATTATTTGCTAAAATCTTCTATTTGATCTCTTTGTTTGTCGAGTGGAAAAATTGGGCTCTCAACAATGTAAAAATAAAAATTGAAAATGAGCGTAAACAACTCTTATTGTGCCATTGGCAGTTATGGTCTTCAACTACGGAGTAATTAACCTTAGTAGTTGTTGTTGTCAATTCATTTTCCTGAAGGTTTGAAATTGGATTATGTTGTTTAAGTCGTTGTAATCAACTCATCTATGTTGGGTTCTTTTTCGAGTTTGTATGATGGTTTCTTGTTGATAAATGAGAATGTAAACAATTGACTTGTTTTGATTGATATAATAACTAAACTAATTTAATAATAACAATATATATATATATATATATATATATAATACAATGTTCATTTAAAACATTTGTTGAGATATGCAAATTGTCAATAAATCTATGAACTTTGTTTTGGATCTTTTTTTTTAAAAAAGAAATATTTGATGATAATCGCTATTTATGATTATTTATGATAATCATTAATTTGTATGATTTATAGATGGCAATTGATAACAATATTTATTGTCAGCTGTCAGCTGGTTATAAATTTTAAATTTTACAATGAATTCTCAACAAAATCAAAATAAAATTGAGCCCAAACCTGTGCATTTGTTTCATGCAGGTAGAATAACCATTATTACAGTAGGGTAAATAACCAATTCAAGATCAGCCAGCATTTCACCTTTCAACAATATTTCATTTTAATAACACTAACGATAATTTCTTAAAGCTTGCCAGCTAGAGGGAAGACACATTTAGCTCGTTCTTTACATCGTTATCTTAAATGGTTAGGCGTGCCAACTAAAGTTTTTAGTGTGGGAAACTATAGAAGAAAAGTTGTGGGAACAGCTTCAAGTTTACCTCAGGATTTTTTCAATCCTAGTATGTTTTATCAAGAATTATTGCCATCCGTTATAAATATGTGTAATCAATACCAATTTATTAATTGCTAAAATTATATATATTCATAAATATTTATACATATGTATGTGTGAAATATAGGAAATCAAGAATCAAATGAAGCAAGACATAAAATTGCAACAGATTGTTTACAAGATTTGATTGATTGGTTGGAAAAAGAAGGGCAGGTTGGAATTTATGATGCCAGTAATACGACAGAAGAAAGACGTAAAGAAATAAGTGATGTTCTAATCAATCGTAATATACACGTATATATGTGATTTTTCATTGGTGTTTGGGTATACTTTGTTTTTTTTTAATGGGATTTTTTTATATTAATATATATATATATATATATATGTTGAATTAATTGATTCTAGCCTCTTTTTATTGGTAAATGTTATTCATATATGATTTTTAAAGAATATTTTTTTTTAATAACTATTTTTTAATTTGTCATATTTATTTTAATATAAGAATCAATATGTGAAAAACCCGAGATTATCGAAGCAAATATTAGAGGTGTAAAAATTACTTCTCCAGATGTAAATAATTATTTTAATTAATCAATTGATTAAAAGTAATGTAACTAATAGCTAATAACTAATAACAATTATTATTATTGTTATATTAATATATATATATATATTTACTAGTATATTGGTTGGGATCCAGAAGAAGCAGTTAAAGATTATTGGGTAATAATAATAATAATCTATGATATTAATTTATGATCTTACAGATGAATTATTATCAGTTTATAATTTAATAATATATATACTGTACTTTATTATAACAGACTCGTATCAATAATCATGTAGAGCTATATGAGCCAATTTCTAACATGGCACATAGTTTTGTCAAGATGATTAACGTTGGTGAAAGAATCATTGTAAATAATGTTAAAGGTTATCTCCAGGTTTGTAATTAATAATAGTGGTGATGATTCTAATGGTATTGATGTAATTATTATTAAAAAAATTTATTTTCTTTTTTAGTCACGAATCGTTTATTATTTAATGAATTTACATATTTCAACAAGAATAATTTATTTTGCACGGGTATACAGAGAGATACACATATATAAATCCATTTATTTGTATAAATCACTTATGTTAATCTTGTTATTACAATAGAGCGGCGAGTCAACGAATGATTTATCACAAAAGTTTGATCCAGGGTTAAATTCGGCTGGAATACGTTATGCTAATAAATTAAAAAAATTTTTATTAGAATTAAGAGAAAAAGAAAGGAAACAAAGAATCGAACAAGGATGGGGCGATTACGAAAGACCGTTGACAGTTATTATCTATATAATTATATTATTTATTTCAAAAAGTTTGATTTCCTTTTAGGAAAAAAAAAGGTTTTTATATTTTATATTCATAATAATAATAGATTTGGACATCACCACGTCAAAGATCAATTCAAACAGCTAAAGTGTTTGAGAAAGATGGAGGTTACAATGTACGACAGCATACTTTATTGGCAGAATTAAATTTGGGTGAGGCAGATGATATGACAGAAGAAGAAATTAAGGTAAATAAAATAAAATTTAGATACATATTATTAAAAAAAAAAATTTTCAACAGTATTTTAATTCATTAATTGAATGTATACATACATACATACATACATACATACATACATACATGTATAGAATAAATTTCCAGATGATTATATAGGACGAAAAAAAGATTTATACAATCATCGATATCCTAGAGGAGAGGTAAACAATTCTTTTGACTGTTATGTGTTATTTGATTTTGGTTATTGTGTACTTTTAATACATGGTATAATAATAATAACGATATACTATATATATTATCTTTTTTTAGTCATATCATGATTTAACGCTTCGACTTGAAGCAATAATTTTGGAACTTGAGCATGAAAAAAATGATGTATTAATTATTGCTCATGAAACCGTGTTGAAGATCTTGTATGCTTATTTATTTGATAGACCACAAGATGTAAGATTTTTATATTGCATTTTCATTTTATTTTCATGTTCTACATACAATTACCTATTATCAACATCTTCATTATGTAATTTAGGAAATACCAACTATTGTAATACCAAAGAATTATTTAATTGAAATAATTCCAACAGCATACGGATGTCGAGAAAATAGAATGCAGATTTTTGATAATGATTCATTTGATGTACCGATATTATCAAGTCTAAATCGTTAAATAAACAAAACTAATATTGATAATGATTATTATTTATTTATTAAAAAAAAGATAGAATATTATCGAATATTATTGTTATTAATAATTATTATGAATATTACAACGATTATCGAATTAATTATTAGATATTAAGAATATTATAATGATTATCGAATTATGATTAATATACAAATAATACCCCCAAACTAACAAAAAAACCAGTGATTAATATACAATAGTATGAGAAAATCCAACCCCCAGGTTTTTATGCTCATTATATTATATTACAATTATTATTACGATTAATATTGATAATTATGATTATTATTTTGTAACGTGTTTAATGGTGGCGTGTCGTTTCTTTCCAATAAAGAAATTGATTTATTTTTATATGGAAATATTATGGAAGATGTTGACGGTGAAATGTTATTATTTCTTAGTAGTGATCGTGGTGGCTTTGATGATGGTGGTGGTGGTAAGTTTAGTGAAGGAGGCGGTTGGTAAGGAGGCAGTTGGTTTGGAGAATGTATCGTTATTGGTGGTTGTAGCGAAGGTGGTGGCGGCGTTATAAATAAATTAGTTGAATTCTTGAATTTTTGAATTATTTTATCTTGCTCTTCGATTAGAGCATTTATGGCATTGTCATTGTCATTGTCATTATAATTATAATTATTAATTATTTCTGTGATATTTCCAGAAAACCTTTGTGCTCCCTTATTGTTATCGCTTTCAACATCTTCTTCCTCATAATACTCACTATCATCACTTGTTGTCATAGAAGATGATTGATCATTACTAACAATAACAATAACCTTACTCAATCTATTCAAAGTTTTCTTGGTTAGGGATAAGCTACCAAATAATCCTGTTATGTGGTATCTTGGGTAAATAATGAAAATTATCGTCACCCATAAAATCAAATTTCCAAAATTTGCTAAAACCGTTAAAAAATCTCTAAAAATAGCGTTTATTGTTATCATTTGCGCATTTGTTGATGTCGTTATTGCCATTTCTTCAATAAACAAAATTATAAAACCAATGCTAGTTAAAAGTAATCCTATCATAAGCAAACAGTTCATCTCTAAGAAATAGCTTATGCGTAGTGAGGTTTCTTGACTTTCAAGTGATTTTCGGTGGAATTTTTTTAGTAATTCTTTGAGTTTTATTCTTGTTCGGATCTGTTATTTGTTTTGAATATATTCGTGCATGTGTGTGAATAATAATAATTATTATGATTGTTATTGCTATTGTTATTGTTATCGCTATTATTATATCACTATATTTATTTTAACTTACCGCCAAGGAAAATATCAATAAAAGCACAATGGAAAAGATAAGGTTTGGAACAATCTAGTAAAAATATAATTGCATATTATTAATGTTAGATTAACACATCAATGATCTCACATTCCTATCTCTCATCTCATTCTACTCTCTGCAAAAATCAACCTACTTCTGAAAGCAACTGATTGTCCTCTAGCATGTATCTCGGTATAGGAAATATCAGAATTGACAAAAAACTCCATAAAGTATACATTTTAAATTCACAAGAATTCATAAATGTCTTATCGCCCATTTGATCTGTTAAATGGCTCCAAAACGCCTGTAATAAAATTAGCGTGCCACTATTCACATTGATACAAAAAAAAATATATATTGTTATGATTATTATGACAATACCATGTAAAATATAAATCTAAATGATAGCTTACGTTTGTAAAGAGTAAATGGCACAGAGTAAATAGTCGGCCGTCTCTTTTAATATTTGATTTTCTTTAGACCAAATAATTTGTGATGAATTATTTGGATCTAGATAGGGCTTTTCAATATATTTATCTTCATTATGACCATCAGCACTAGTGCTTGTCAGTCCAATATGACCTTCTGAATATTTAATTTTGATCCATGATATATCATAAATCTATATTATTGTTAGCGAAAATGAGCGATAATTTGTTAGCGATCTTAGTGATGATGGTATTTGGCAACAATAATAATCCCTATAATAAATAATATTGTATGCATACGGCCATCATTGGAAATGCTATTAATAGCAAGGTTGTAATTATTGATTTTAATTCCATTGCTTTAATTTTACGCCATCTTAAATTGGAAAATTTATCTGTAGACCATACACGATGAACAAACCACATCCATATCCAAATTTCTGTGACTGCTTTTTCTACATTTTAAAGATCAAGAAAAAAAATAGATAAGAGATTTCATATTAGAGATTTACTCTACATTAAATAATCTTTCATTTTTTATTACGATACTTACCAACAAAGTAGAATTCGTCAAAATTTGAGATCATAGTTTTTTTGTTAATATTATCAAGATGATATTATATTATCCCTTCCTATTATTCCTTCTTTAAAAGTTATTCATAAAGATGCAAAAAAAATATATGATATAATGTGTGATGATGAATAATTAAGTGGGTAGGTGGATAGGCGGTCAGGCAGGTGGTAGTGGGTATGCAGGCGGGTGGTAAGTGGGTATGCAGGCGAGCAGGTATGAAGGGGAAAGATAGACAAATAAAAATTTACAAAGAAAAATTATAACTTATGACAAAAAAAAAGAATAAATCAGAATATTTACAAATGAAAGTAAAGAAAACTGCTAAAGAAAGAAAGAATATTTATTAAACTATTATTAACAAATAATGTCATCAAATTACTATATTATTTCGTGATTTTTAAAAATATCGTTAATGAGAAGTGAAAGAAGAAAAAGAGAGTAATAATATTTAATGTTCTTATTGTCGTGTATGGAAGAATAATTCAGAAAAAAAGAAGGTAAAAGTCGTGAAAAAAAAATTTTTATTAAAACCTGATCAAACAGAACATAAAAAAATAAATAAAAAAAAAACCATTTTACTATTTATATTTATACAATAAACAAACTCCTCTATTAACTCCGGATTATTAATGTGTATATGTATGTGTGTGTCAATGTTTACTGTTATATCAATTTATTTTTCATAGATTTACAAATTTGTTCATACAATCAAATTTAGTCGTGTATATGAATGGTTACATTGCCATAACTTGACGTCTCATATAGCCTTCAAAAAATCAATGATCAATGACAAAAAATATATTGCATCTCGTTGTTGTTGGTAACTATTAAACTGTAAAAAGAAAATATTATTAATAGACAAAAATTCCGTGCTACTAAAATTCACATATTGATAATATTAATTATGATGAGGATTGTCATTGTCATGCAAAATAAACGCCATTAATAATAATTTCAAAAATTCAAAATCGAAAAAATCTAAAATTTTTTCGGTTATAACCGATCAATTTTACTGTATTTATTTAAATTTGGCGAAAAAAAATTTTTCATGATTTTTATGTATATGGTAAAACCCTTTAATGATCATTTATCAGATACAAAACCCTTTGTCAAAAATATAAGGATTCTTGTTGATCATCGAAAATAATTGAATGGTGACATAAAAAATTTTATTATCCCAAGAATATTTGCCCATATCAAATAGTACAATATACTAAAGTTTTGCCACAATAGCAAGTTCTAACAACTTTTGTGATACAAGTAAAAAAATGCGTCTCATGTTTAAATCTAGTTACTTCTAAATTTTAGAAAAAAATAAAAACGTAGAAAGTTTTACGAAGCAGTTCAACCACTAATTGAATTGATTATATTATTAAAAAAAAATCGATATCTTGTCTAGGCTTCCTTTATTTTTTAAAACAGCATTAATTCTTTCCGGATTAATATTAAACCATTCCCATCTTATTTTTTGATTTTGCTCATTCTAAGTCAAGTGTTTCGATTGCTCTTTTGGATCTATCTGAGCTATTTCTTTATATGAAAATTGGCCATTTTTAAAGCCAATAATTTCTCCACGTTCAAATTCAGATAGTTGAGTAGTTTTGGGCATTTTAAATAAAATAAAACAATGAATTATCTAATTTAGAAAAGAATAACTCGTTTGAATATTTTGTATGACATTTTCGGTAATTAATTTACCCAATGCCCTGAAATTTTTTAAACATACATGAGACTTTACCACAAAGGTCATTAGAACCTGCTATCGTGGCCAAGGTGAAATTTTTTTAAAAATTTCCTTTTTTTACTTTTTAAGGTTTGTAAAACAACAAGTTGTTATTTATATGTGGCGAAACTTCAGTATATTATAATTATATTATTTGATAGGGATAATAAAAGTTTTATATTTTTCATGTCACTTTATTCATATACTACTGTGATAATAAGTGGTGTGACTATTTTGGGTATAGTAGAAAATTTTTATTATAAGATCAGGCAAAGAAAACAAAAAAATTTTAAAATATATAGAAAAACAAGCAATTGGTGATATAGAAAGTTTGTGTCCTTTCTATTTTAAGTAAATTTCTAAGAACCCTGCTTAATACTAATTTGACAAAATCAAGATTCAACTATGGGTTCATTAAGAATTAGTCAACAACTATAAAAATAATTTTTTCAATGGTTATTTATTATATATGAAGTTACATGTCTTATATGTATGCTAAAATGATTAAAAGGGTAAAATTTACTATAGTGCGGATCATCTACTACTCAAAAGTTAAAATTGTTGAAATATTATGTGATCCACACATTGGATTTTAAAAAACCACCACCATTCAATTCAGCTTTAAAAGGGTCTATTAATCTAAAAAAAAATTTGTCTCAAATTTTTTCTTTTCATATATTTTTTTAAATTTGAAAGTTATGCAACAATAATTTTCGTGTTACAATATTTTGAATCTCACGACCAAATTTGGTAATAACTTTATAAAAAAATATTCTATGAAAAAAAGTTGTTACACGAAATTTACTTAGTCTCAATTTCTTAAGTGTATATATAACAAAATTCGGAATTTTCAAAATGTTAATATTAAGGCTCAGCCAATTTTCAGTTTAAGAAAAAACCAGCCGATAAATTTTGAAGCTTGAGTCATGAAAAATAAAACTTAACGGTTAATTTTTTAAAATGAGATATTTTTTTTTGTTTTAGTGTATATTTTGAAGTTGACCAATTGTTATTATAATGATTATAGATGATCTGCGCCGTATTACTATATATATCCAGGGTTATCACGTGACTACCATCTATTGGTGGTTTTTTATATTTTTATAAACCACCATCGGTCTCGACGTTTCTTATTATTCTTAATACATTCGGCCAAGTCATCTTCTTTATATTCAAATATTATTTCAACCTTGTCTATACCTTCATTGTCATTACTAGAATCTAATATAATTAATTAATAATTGAAATTGTAAGTAATAAATTAGTGATTGGCAACTTTCAATTAATTTAATTTTACCTTGTGAACTATTATAGCTAGTTCTAGCAATATTATTTCTCTGTTTATTTTGGGGGGATTTTTTTGTTTTATTATTAGCATTACTTGTAGAAGAAATTATAGATTCACTATTTATATCTGCTAAACATTCAAACATCATTGTTTCTAAATTTTATGATTAGTTATTTATTGTTAACAATTTTTAACTTTTATAACCATTTAATGCAATGATTACCTTGATCTTCTTTAATATTAAACATTACTTCAGTCTCATCATTATCATCAGCCTCTTTGAACTTTTTCATGCCTTTTCCTTTATCATTATCATCATTACTAGAATCTAATATTAATTAATTAATTAAGAATAATTGAAATTATAAGCAATAAGTTAGTGATTAATAACTTTCAAATCAATAAGAATTTATTTTGTAGCTAGTTCTAGCAATATTATTTTTCTGTTTATTTTGGCATGATTTTTTTGTTTTATTATTAGCATTGCTTGTAGGAGGAATTATGGTTCACTATATCTGCCAACCATTCAAACATCATCATTTCTAAATTTTTGATTATTTATTAATTGTTAACTATTTATTATCTTTTATAACCATTTAATGCAATTATTACCTCGATCTTCTTCCTTAATATTAAACATTACTTCAGTCTCATCATTATCATCAACCTTTTTGGACTTTTTCATGCCTTTTCCTTTATCATTATTATCATTACTAGAATCTAATATTAATTAATTAATTAATTAAGAATAATTGAAATTATAATTAATGAATTAATGATTGGTAAGTTTCAAATCAATAAGAATTTAATTTACCTTGTGAACTTTTGTAGCTAGTTCTAGCAATATTATTTTTTTGTTTATCTTGGGGGGATTTTTTTGTTTTATTATTAGCATTGCTTGTAGAAGGAATTATTGGTTCACTATTTATATCTGCCAACCATTCAAACATCATCATTTCTAAATTTTATGATTATTTATTAATTGTTAACTATTTATTATCTTTTATAACCATTTAATGCAATGATTACCTCGATCTTCTTCTTTAATATTAAACATTACTTCAGTCTCATCATTATCATCAACCTTTTTGAACTTTTTCATGCCTTTTCCTTTATCATTATTATCATTACTAGAATCTAATATTAATTAATTAATTAATTAAGAATAATTGAAATTATAATTAATGAATTAATGATTGGTAAGTTTCAAATCAATAAGAATTTAATTTACCTTGTGAACTTTTGTAGCTAGTTCTAGCAATATTATTTTTCTGTTTATTTCGGCATGATTTTTTTGTTTTATTATTAGCATTGCTTGTAGGAGGAATTATTGGTTCACTATTTATATCTGCCAACCATTCAAATATAAACATTTCTAAATTTTATGATTATTTATTTATTGTTAACTATTTATAACCATTTAATGCAATGATTACCTCGATCTTTTTCTTTAATATTAATTAATTAATTAAGAATAATTGAAATTATAATTAATGAATTAGTGATTGGTAAGTTTCAAATCAATAAGAATTTAATTTACCTTGTAAACTTTTATAACTAGTCCTAGCAATATTATTTTTCCATTTATTTCGGCGAGATTTTTTTATTTTATTATTAGCATTACTTGTAGGAGAAATTATGGGTTCATTATTTATATCTGCTAAACATCCAATAATTGAAATTGGAAGTAATAAATTAGTGATCGGTAACTTTCGATTAATTAATAAGAATTAATTTACCTTGTAAACTTTTATAACTAGTACTAGCAACATCATGTCTAATGTTTAGGCATAAATTTTGTATATTTTGGGAGGGTTTTTTGTTACATTACTTGTAGGAGGAATTATAGGTTCACTATTTATATCTGCTAAGCATTCAAACATCATTTCTAGTTAATTAATTAAGAATAATTGAGATTGTAAGTAACGAATTAGTGATTGGTAATTTTCAATTAATTAATAAAAATTTAGTCCACCTTGTGAATTTTTATAACTATTGTCTAGTTGTTTGTTTATTTTTATTTCGCTACTTGTTTTAGCTAAGATTAATTAATTATAAAAATTGCAAGTAATAAATTAAAATTAGTAATTTTCAATTAATTAATAAAACATTAATTCACACCTTCTAAATTTTTATAACTAGCAATAGCATCATCCAATATTTTACTTTTGTGATATGCTAATGAATGTGATCTCTGTATATTATTATTATCATCGTCATGATTTGAATTACTTGAAGTAGAAATTCTAAGTTCACTATTTATAGCTTCATCATTATAAACTTTTGTTAAACATTCCTCGGAAAAATCAAGTAATTTCTTTAATAGTTGGTCTATTATATGAATAATCGTCCCAACACTGGCACATCATTTCTACATATTCTCCTGGCATTCCTGACAATATTGGTGGCCGTAAACCTTCACATATATGTAACATTAAGAAATGATTATGAGCCCTATCATCAAATGGTGGATGGCCTGCAAATATCTCCCACATCAACACTCCAACGCTGTAAATATCCGACTCTTTTGTATGTTTTACTCCTCGGAAAATTTCAGGTGCTATGTATGGCACAATTCCATAAATTTTATTTGATAACTTTTCATCAATTGGTCCACATAATCCTAAATCTGTAATATAGCAACCACCCCCTGCTACTAATATATTACCACTGTGTAAATCACAGTGCATTAAATCTTCTTCATGTATATCATATAATGAGCAACACAAATAATTAAACATTATAATTCTGTCTCTTAATGTTAAATTAGAATGATTTTTTCGTAAATAATCCCTTAAACTTCCATCTGGAACATAATTTAAAACCATCGCATAATTTCCATTTTCTGGGAATTGTGTTATGCCATAATAATCAACAATCAAATTTGATTTAATTGTACAATAATCCAATATCTGAGATTATATATAATTGTATTCAATAATATAATATTTATCTTCATTTCGTTTAGAAGAAATTACTACTGACCTTATCAAAAAAACACTTTCCAATTCCATTCGATTCATTTAGTAATTTTAATACTACAATTTGAGATCCAACATAACTAAACTCTTCAGAATTTCCTCTTTTCAAATCAAAGATACGCCCTCTTGTCCATACTGCAGTATAAATACTACTAAACCCTCCTTTTGACAAATATTTTACATTTTTAAATTGATCATAAGGTATCCATTCCATTATACTACGTGGAAGAGATGAAAGCATTTGACATTTTTGTATAAATTCATCAACAATCTTATTTCCAGAAACCCAGATATTGAAACAACTTTTTAAACGTAGACCAATACAATGTTCACAAAACCTAATTGAATATTTTATAGACTTACACCGTTTACATTTTTTTGATTTGCCTATTTTATAAATTGCATTATTTAGTTGAAAGTCATAATTAAATCTTTTCTTACAATAACGTCTATGCTTTTCTGATAACTCATTGTTTCCAAGTACTAATGATAAAAATGTAGTCTTTTGAGCTTTTCTATAATTATCATTAATATCAATTGCTTCAGATTTATGGAACATTTGACTATGCTTCATGTGCAAATTTTTTTCTACTATCTTTTGCTATAACATTTTCAGCCATTTTCATTTTTAATAATATTTAACTTCTCGGCGGGAGAAGATTAAATCAAATTGATCTAACCATAATGGATAGATCGCACAACACCAGCATAGTGGAAGTTTGTTGTTACACGAAATGTCGTACAGAACTCATTGCTACTGAAACTTTACCAGTATATAGTTGTTACCTCTCTAAATTGGAGATCAAGTTCAGATCCAATTCAAATCCAGTTTATCACTTACTTTTTATTGCCAGAATGTTTGCCGTGTATTGTAAAGCTACGTTGCACAATATAAAAAATTAGTGTGACATTTCAAATTTCCACTATGCTGTTATGAATATTTATAATATTTATCCAGCATGGCGTGCCATAGTATTTTATATCAATCAAAAATTTCATTACTACCATAATCATAAATCACATGATTGATATTGGTATCATCTTTACAAGTTTAATATATTAATACTTATTATGAATCAAATTGAAAATCAATGTGATTGATGTTTATCACCATTATCATTTAAAAATTTTATATATATAAAAAAAAAATGCCAAATTTACAAAAATTAGTACAAAAAGGTTCGATTTCGTCATTAAAAACTTATTTTTCGTTAATTTCATTAGAAGAGTTATTAATAATAAATAAACCTGACAAGCATGGTGATACACTTGTACATATTGCTGCAAGATTTCACCAATTTGAAGTATTGAAATATTTGGTTGAAGAGTTGAATGGAAATTGTAATGTAATTAATAAACATGGTATTATATCAATAATAAACACGTTTTGATTTTAAAATAAATTAAATAATCAGTCGATTGATTTTAGGCAGACAACCACTTCACGAAGCAATTGATAATTTAGAATGTGTCAGATTTATTTGTCAACAAAAAAATGTAAATGTTGATTGTATGAAAAGAGGTGATTGGACTCCATTGATGATTGCAGGCGTGTAAACATTATAAATTCTTTATTCTCCTATTTCTCATCCTCTTCCAAAAACATTTAATAATTAATAATTAATTAATAATAAAGCGATGAAAGGTAGATTAGATATTGTAAAAGAACTTGTTAGTCATGAAGCAAATGTAAAACATTTAAATAAAGATGGATGGACTAGTTTGCATCTAGCAATAAAAGAAACACATCTAGAAGTTGTAAAGTATCTTTATCAAATTTCACCCGATACATTAATGATTCCAAGCAAATCAGGAATATATCCAATACATACTGCTGCATCATCATCATCATCGTCATCATCATCGATTGTTTTCTATTTGCTATCAGCAGTTAACCCAGAAATAAAAAAACAATTATTAAAAATTACCGACAACAGTGGAGTCAATCTATTACAAAGTTCGATAATCTCAGGTGATGTAAATTTAATTAAAAAATTAATTTATGAAGAATATAATTATGATGTTGATGATAAATCTAAAAAAGGAAAAGAAAAATATAAATTTCTTTATCATAAAGATAAAATTGGTAGACAAGCAATTCATTATGCTACAATGGTTGGTAATTTGGAAGTTTTGAAATTGTTGATTGAATGTGGAATTGATGTGAATGTGGTGGATGATTGGGATAATTGGACTTGTCTTCATTATGCGTGCAAAGAAAGCTATATTGATATAGTTGACTATTTGATATATAATTGTAAAGCAAACATTAATATTAAAGATAAGCATTTATTCTCCTATTTCTCATCCTCTTCCAAAAACATTTAATAATTAATAATTAATTAATAATAAAGCGATGAAAGGTAGATTAGATATTGTAAAAGAACTTGTTAGTCATGAAGCAAATGTAAAACATTTAAATAAAGATGGATGGACTAGTTTGCATCTAGCAATAAAAGAAACACATCTAGAAGTTGTAAAGTATCTTTATCAAATTTCACCCGATACATTAATGATTCCAAGCAAATCAGGAATATATCCAATACATACTGCTGCATCATCATCATCATCGTCATCATCATCGATTGTTTTCTATTTGCTATCAGCAGTTAACCCAGAAATAAAAAAACAATTATTAAAAATTACCGACAACAGTGGAGTCAATCTATTACAAAGTTCGATAATCTCAGGTGATGTAAATTTAATTAAAAAATTAATTTATGAAGAATATAATTATGATGTTGATGATAAATCTAAAAAAGGAAAAGAAAAATATAAATTTCTTTATCATAAAGATAAAATTGGTAGACAAGCAATTCATTATGCTACAATGGTTGGTAATTTGGAAGTTTTGAAATTGTTGATTGAATGTGGAATTGATGTGAATGTGGTGGATGATTGGGATAATTGGACTTGTCTTCATTATGCGTGCAAAGAAAGCTATATTGATATAGTTGACTATTTGATATATAATTGTAAAGCAAACATTAATATTAAAGATAAGCATGGGAGAACTCCAAAAGATGTTGGTAAGTCGTATTAATTATCATTATTGTTATTATTGTTATTTGTTATTGTTATTATTCAATAATTAATTAATTTAAAATTTTAATTTATAGCAATTTTATGGAATCAAGTTAAAATTATTAAATTATTCAAATAAACAGTCATTTATATGCGCCATGATTTATCTTGTTAACTTATGCCTAGATATCCATGAACATTTGATTCCCAAAATCACAATCTGAATTTGATACAAAGTGTCAAATCTATTTCTACTTCCACGTATGGTTTTAACTAATTTTGATTTTGACTTTGGAATCGCGTTCCCATTTTCTCGTTAGAGCCTCGCATATTCCAGATATGTATGATAATTTCTGTAGAAAAATAATTGCTATTAATTATAAGGAAGTTTGTAATGTATTACAAATAAATTTAATGAATAACCTGAATTAATTGCTTTCCTTTTATTTGCATCTCTCTTCTCTTCTGATCGATGATAACGATAATTTAATAACCGGGAAGCAAGAATAAATTTTTTTTGGTATCTTTGTGACCTGGAAATATTTCTCGATCGATTACTTTTTCAAAATCTTAAAATTAATTAATTTAAAATAAACATGACTTTAATTTCATTTGTTGTTATCATTATTAACAAACAAATCCAAATCCAAATCCAAATCGAATAAATGTTAACTAGCTGGTGATGCCCTGGCCGAGGCCAACCGGGAGTTGTCACACAGCATAAAATATTTAAGAGAGTTTCTCTGCCATTGATAATTTTATCATCTAAATCATAGTAAATATGCCTAATTGTTTTCCTTTTTTAATAGTTGTTCTGTCAGAGTAAGAATCAGATTCTTTGTGAAATCATTGCTAATCATTTAAAATATTTGGAACAT